AAGCAAACCAAGCAACAACCCAGTCCTGCAACGTCTAGGCTGAAACCAGACAATGTAAGACCAATTGCCTAAGCCCTTAAACAGGCTGAAGCAAAGCATCGCGTACTGCAGTACCAAAACATAGGACAAGAGTTCGAGCACTCGTTCACTCAAGTCTTGAATAGAGGACACGGGCGTTTGACCATCGAGTCAAGAAACGTGTTCTTTATAATCTTCATACTACAGCCTTCAGCAGCAAGGGTGGTTAGAGGAATTTCCCTTGAACTACAGGTTTGGCGTACGTCGAACTTGTGGATTAAGATCTCGAGACTATAGCCTTCGGGGAAAGGGTGGTTGAGAGAATATAGTTGTCTTGTGGCGTTGAGTGAAGGTTGGTTGTTCTATATTTTTTGTTAATTTTTGGTAAGTTTGCATAGCTAGCGGATGTGGAGCATGTGCTGTGATATATTCCTTCTACGCTATACACGGGGAGAAGTTAAATAGGTCTGCAGCCTACATCAAGATAGAAACATGCAAAGTAGGTAACATGACATTAACTTAGGCTCTAGACCTGAGGATTGTTTGTTCTTCCTTAATTAAGGTGCTACACTTGCTAAAGCGAGTCTCTATATCGCCCTGCAGCAGCAAGATAAACCAGCATGTGCGCATATGCTTCATTTTGTTATGTTCAGACGTGTGAGGGTAGTATTCAAAGTTCGTATTGATTCAAGAAAGTGGAATATGCAATGCTAGTAGAGCAACATAGGAGTAACGCAATGAACGCTTCATAACCATGAATCACAAACGCCCTTCGCCATGCAAAAAAAGACTAGACCATTATACAGCAACACCCCTCTGCTTCCACCCGCCTGGGCCCCTCCAAGCGAAGAAGATGAGACCCATGGCAATCCACACGCTGATGGTCATGGCCCAGAACGTAGACGCATAGCAAGCCTTTCCATGGCAAAGCACGTCCTCTGGATCCTTCTGAACACCCGCTTCACCATTCTCTGCAGCTTTCTGATACACCGTGGCGTAGACAGCACCCCAGAGCGTAGCACCGGCAGCCGGTGTCATGGCTAGAATGCCCCAGTTTGTACCGAAGTTCTCCACGCCCCATACTACTGAGACGACGATAGGTGTAAGAGAGAAGACGGCTCCATACCCAGCACCGATGAGTGCGGAGACGGCGGCAAAACGGGAGGCATGGTTCTGCACCCACCCACTCGCGAGGAGAAGTTGTCCGAGGGAGAGGATGAAAGCGAAAGCCAGGAGGAAGGTTATGCGAGAGACGGTGAATCGGCGCGGCTGCTCGAGGGATGGGAGTGACGATAGCGAGTTCGCGATGGAGTCTGGTCCACGACGGTGGGAGTTGCCAGACGAAACCGGGGCGAGGACATCGGAGAGTGTGCCGGTGATTAAGCGAGCGAGTGTGGAGGTGATGGCGACGATGGAGACGTGGGTGGCAGGCGAGGTGTTAGTGGCGACATGCGCAGGCGTAAGCGTCTCGATGATGGTGCCTAGGTTGTTGATGAAAGCCTCACCAGGGCCAGTAACCAGGAAGAAGCCGCCTGCGAGCCACCACATGGTAGGGTCCATGATGTACCGACGAGTCTCCTCGTTCAGCAGCCATGTCTTCTTGCGTGCCTCTTCTTCCGCCTTGGCCTTCAAACGCTCAGCTTCGGACTGGAGGAAGTCAAAGGTCGAGTCGGAGAGGTCCTGCGTCTCCATAGTTCCGTAGCCGTGATGCTGCGCAGCCTGAGTAAAGAACTCGTCGCGCTGCAGCAGACCAGATCTTTCGAGCTCGTCTACTGCCTCGTCGATCATCTCCTCTTCGTCCATGATGCGCAGCGCGAAGAAGCCGACGGTGCCCACGCAGAAGAGGAGTATGCCGAGGAAGAGGAAGAAGCGGTACACGTCGACGTCGCCTTTGGTGCCATCCGGGTTCCTCACGTACAGCAGCCGGCTTCCAACTTGACTTTGCCACATGCCGCTGAGTCCAAAGGCTGCAATGGGCACTGCCAGAGCCACACCCTTGGCGTTTCCGCGTCCAAAGTTCTTCGCGCATGTTGTTACTGCAGACAGGTACATGCAGCTGGTGCCCATGCCGACGAAGGCGAAGGCCAGCACCATGACGCCGAAGGGCCAGCCATGACCGCCTGCAGATGGCGGAGGACCGCTCTTGAATGCAAAGGCTGCCAGTAGGTATCCCGAGCCGAAGAGAATGCCAGCAAGACCGGCAGGCACGCCAGGCCCCAGACGGTCGCAGAGGTATCCGAAGATGGGGACGAGGAGGTAGAGGCCGAGCTCGGCGCCGATGGAGACGATGTTGACCTGGACCTGGGTGTAGTGCAGCTTGGACTGGAACAAGTGGCCGTAGAGGGAGAAGGCGGTGATGCTACCAGCGCAGAGGCAGATGACGATGGCCCAGACGAAGCTCAGCCATCGTAGCACGGCGCGCTGCATCTTGACGCGGTCCTGCTCGTAGATGCCTTCGGCCACCTGCTCGAAGAAGCTGCCGGCGTAACTCGTGTCGTTGCTGCGGCGCTGGGATTCGGTGTCGTCGTCGGGGGCGAGCAGCGGGCGACGGGGCGAGTTGGGCGGGTAGTCGAGCTTGTCGATGGTGGTGATGGCATTGCCGCTGTTCCGCTTGGACCTCGGGGGTGACATTGGCGGCCGGTCGTGGACGTGTGACGAGGGTCGGGTGGCTTGGTCTACCGTAGCATCGCCCTAGGAATATATATTAAGAGTAGAATATAGGAGATACCACGAGAGTGCGACAGGATATGTCTCCCCGGACCCAATAACCCAGACGTACAATGCTCTTGCGGACCGGCGGTCAGCGCACGGTGTTGTCGCGCGAAGTAGCTCGCGCCGGGGCTGCAAGCAAGTGACGCTGCAGCCGAATCGCCGGGCCCGCTAGTTCGTCGTCGAAACAAATGCGCAAGAAATCCGCGAGCAGCAAACACCTCGCCGTCGCCCCGTCCCAAGCACCACCATCCAATAGCCATGGCGCCCCAGCAGGCCCTCGTCAACCTCTCGCCCGCTGAGCTGTCCTTCCTGCGCTCCACCCTCTCACAGACGCCGCCCATCCGCCTCGATGTCACCAAGGGCCCCCGCGACTTTCGCTCCATGCGCGCCGAGTATGACGTACTGCCCAGCGCAAACGGGAGTGCGCGCATCGCCCTGGAAGACGGGACCGAGGCGCTCGTAGGAGTCAAGGCCGAGGTGGAGAGGTCACGCCAGCGCCCGACCCTGGGCGAGCCCGAGGACGTAGACATGGCAGAGGGCGAAGAGACGGACGACAGCAAGGGCAAGGGCCAGAATGCCTGGGTCGAGATGAGCGTCGAGGTCCCAGGCTTCCGCGAAGACGACGCCCTGCCAGTGTTCCTGTCCTCCATGCTCACTGAGAGCTTGCTTGCAAGTGGAGAGCTCAAAGACCGCCTGTACATCAACAGACGGTTTCACTGGAAGCTTTACGTCGACGTAAGACGTCACTATTCGTCTTCCAGACATACTGCTAACAGTCTTAGATTCTCCTCCTTTCACCTCCGCTCTCCTACCCGCTCGCGCTGCTTTCAATGACTACCCATCTCGCCCTCCTCACTACCCTCCTACCAGCCCTGAAGTCGGAAAAGGACGAAGACCCCCTGTTCGACGACGACTGGGATGCCGCCGTGCCGCTATACTCCAAGCAGGCGGGTACCAACAAGACTGCTCCCCAGCTAGGCAAGCCCCCAGTCATCATACTAGCCATGGCAGTGGGCCCCAACATCATCTTTGATCCCGCCAAGGAGGAGCTCGCAGTAGCAGATGCAGTCCTCGCGATCGCATGCACAAATTCAACAACCTCGTCAACGGGCGCGCGCATCGTCTCCATCCGGACCATCGACCCCCCGTCCCACCTTACGCCCCCGGGCGTACCCAACTCGATGAACTCAGCAACAGGCGGTACTGCGCCCACCTCCAGTGCCGATGCGCTCACACAAAGAGAACTGTTGGCGACTTCAGGTGTCTGGACACCGCCCCGAGGTGGCATGAAGAGAGGTCTGATCACACAAGTCACAAAGATGGTGGTTGAAAACGGAGGAGTCGCTGAAGAAGTCATTGGCGCATTGGCATCAATTGAGGTCGGCTGAAGAGAGCGTGACGCCTACACAACATGCAGCGACCTTCAATCAAGGACTCAGTGGGCACTTTTGAGACTTCACGTCCAAATAGGCTTACCGCGCCGAGGAGTACGTCAAGGAGGATCCCGGAGGAGTGTTGGAGCATTTGGCACAATAGTCGTCTCACGACAAGCGTGCTATGCGCCGCTTCATGTGTACTTCAATGCTCTGGCATTGCGTCATCAGACGGCCCGTTCAAGAACAACACGGTCTTGGCTTGGGAAGCCATATAAACATATATCAATACAACACGACATGCCATCTTGATCCACTATCGCAGTATCGTATGTATGATGCATAGTCCCACACGGAAAGGCGGGAACATAGTGCGTTTGATGGCCAACATCGGCATTAATAGTGGAACATTACCCTTGCAGCGTATCAGAACAACAGACCGTCAACCTCACTTTCCTTGATACGCCTCGCAAGCCGTCAAGCAAACATCGCCGAACATCCCAGCTCCCATGTGTTCTGCTTGCTTTTGTCGGCCCCCATCCCGCGTCAGTCAGCCACATTCGGCTAGTGTAAATGACATGTCAGCTGCGGCTTCCACGTTGTCGTCGTTTCCTGTTCTCTCGATCGATGCTGCCATTCACACCGCTTCGGACACGATATAAGAGAACACCGTACCATTCAACCGTCGCGGAGACACAAGAGATATAGAGTTGCACCGCAATTACGTTACACGATATAACCCCGCACCGTCGTCGCAAGGCTGAAGTCTAATAACACAGCCCGTATCAAAAGCGCTAACAACGACACTGGATGCCCTAGAGGAGTCCAGATCAAAAACATAAAAGTCCCAGACGGAAGCAAGGTCATACATCTCGACAATCAAGCAGAACAGAAGCCATGATGGATCTTCACCACCAATCCCACTTCTCGGCCTTCACGCGCTTCTCCGAAAAGCTCAAAGACACCACCAACCGGCGCAAACAAAGCGCCTCAAGCCACTCCATCCGCAACCCTTCCATCAGCGGCCTCCCCGCAGACGCAGACACAGCCTCCATGCGGTCTTGGGACTCGGAACTCTCACGAGACAGCCGGCGCAGCAGCATAGGAAACTACGCGGACCGCGTCCGCCAAATGTTCACTGCAGGTTCCACGCACCCGGGCAGCGGCCAAAGAAAACGCATTACAGACCTCCCTGTTGAGGTGCTCCAGCACGTATTCATCCACCTCGACTTCTGGGACTTACTCCGCTGCCAGCGCGTATGCAATGTATGGCGGCAACTCATCCCCGGTGACTCCCCTTTACTCGCCGAGATGCTGTATCTGAAACCGTCCCGCAGTCTGCAAATCTACAATCTCGTCCCCACAACCTTCGATTTTGAACTCGACGTTACGCCGCAGAGTATAGAAGACGGGGTGCAACCGTCTGGCACGCGGTTCTCAGTCGGCGTGCGCAATGAGATTAGTCTGATGAGGAGGTGTTTGGGGCTTATACGGACGAGCCAAGAGATTGTTTTCCATCCGGTTGTTATGGATTTTAATGTTTGGATTCAGAATGAGAAGGTTTTGGGGAGGAAAGATGGGAGTTGGAGGGATATGTTGGTCTCTATGCCGCCGTTGAGGGAACTTACGCTGAGGCATGGGAGGAAGAGGAGTGTGGTCAAGGTTTTGACTGTGGGGGATGATGAGGATGGGGTGAGGTTGGGGGCGCTTTTTGATGCCATGGATGAGTGGAGGCGGACGTTGAATTGAGGGGTAGGTCGTGCTAGCAGTGGAGATGCTGGTTCATCTTGCTGCTGGGCGGCGACAAAGGGACTCGCTTTGGCGAATGTAGATATGTAATACCATGTATTCTTCTTAGCAATTTTCTCGTGCAGAGGCTACTGAAAGTGCGATGCAATAGATGCAAAAAGAGAGATGCAAAGTAGAAGATGCGATAGCAGGCGCTGCTAGCTACTGTTGTTCCTCTATGTGCGTGGTAGGCGGAGGGCAAAAAAGAAGATCTAGGCAAAAGACAAAAACAAAATACCAGTGGACACCCCAACCCGTCACCCGACTTCCAACCCTAATAGGAGTAATCCAGCGCCGCCGTCCCGTGGTGAATACTAGACTGCGGAATTGCTTCCCTCGTCAAGTTGTATTCATTGCTTAGGTCCCTCCAGCATCACTGGTTACCCAAGTGAGTGGATTAAAGGACACCACAGGACTCGAACTGGGCTCCCGTTAAAGTATTGACAGTAAGCCGGATTTGGAAACGGAATGTCTTCTGGCTGAGACCCGTTACAGGTGGCAAATTTTGGAATTAGATGTAATATATAGGTAGTGTAAATTGGAGATGCGTTGCAGTTTCTGGACTGCATCGTTGCTGCCGCTCTGCGAATTTGTGCGAGATTTGAGGGCTTCCGGTAGCCCAAGCGAGCGGGCTGCGGGGTAAGAGTGACCTCTAAAAGTGGGGGAGTGTTGGGCCTATTCCGCCACTCTGCGACAACAGGTGCAGCGCTATGAACACCGTAATCACAACGCAAACGTGAGTTGGACGACATTTGGAGAGGTACTCCATGTTATGATAGCTACGATGCAATATACTCGACTTGTCCAAGTCACCACAGATGCGTGGGTATCTATTCATTCCTTCTGCGCCTCCCAATGCGACACCTCCGCTCAGTGATGGAGACCACGACTCACATCTTCAAAGCACGTACCAGCTTCTGAATCTCAATCCGCACATCTTCACATCCTGGCCGCTTCCCTTCCTCTCCTTGCACCATGTCGCTGATCAGTTGCTGCACGTCGTCACCCACATCACCCAGACCTTGCGCGAAGCCATCAGGGAAGACTCCGCGGCGTAGCTCCGTCAGCGCTGATATCCGCTCCATGCGAGTGTCGAATTTTTGAATCATCTCAAACGCTACGACACCCAGAGCGAAGACATCGAGCTTCTCGTTGATACCACTGCCTGTGTGGGGACGGTAAAACTCCGTACCCACGGGCTTGAAGGTATCCGATACAGTGCAGCTGTCACTCAGCGCCGCGACAAGCCCGAAATCTCCAATCCGTGGCGTCATGTGTAGGTGATCGCGCTTCGGGCACGTTGTGCAGCTTGAAACGTTGACGGAGCCGTATGGGGCGTGGCGCGCTCGTGAGAGCGATATGAAGACGTTGGCTGGTTTGAGGTCGCGATGAACTACGCCTTGTGCGTGGAGGTATTCGACTCCGGAGACGATGTTGTCTAGTAACTCCAGCGATACGCAGGGGTGGAAACAATGTTGTTCGATTGCGTGTGCGGTGGGATGTTGATCGGAAGAGAGGAAAGCGGCAAGGTTAGTTTCGCAAAGGCTCATTTGCACATTCAGTGTAAGGACTGGTCCGAGGGTCTGGTTTTGAATCAAGTGGCGGGGCGCATCGCTGTTCGATATCATGCTGTCTGACATCTCGGAATGCGACTCCTGGGAATACGGCATGTGTAATCTGGGTATATTTTCAACGTCATCATCATCTTCTTCGTCAACGTCCTCCACGGCGCTCATCCTGGACTTCGTCGACGATATCGTAGCTATCGTGTTCTGGCTTGCTTGGCTACCCCGACGTTTCGTGCGTCTTGTCTGCTTCAAAGTCTCTTTGTATGATGTATGAACGCTCTCGCTCCTGGTCTCGTTCACTTGCTGTTCAGATTCGCTGAACTCAAATATGATTCCCGCGCTATTGCTGTGTTCAGTGCTCGCGAAGGGATGGTCCATCGTCAGGCTATTTAGCTGAGAATGCAGATCTCCCGACCCTGGTGAAAATGACGGAAACGCGGGTCGATCATCCAAAAGACGGTCGTTGCGTAACATCGTGACTTCCGGCGCGGCCACAGGGTCTGCCGGTATTGTGGTGAACTCCAGCCAAGCGTTGTGATACCGAACTATGTTGTTATGATCGAACCGAGCGAGCGAACGAACTTCCTCAAGCATGCTTTCCAGTTCTTCGGGCCCATGCTCTTGTATTCTTGCAACTCTGGACGGGCTCACCGGTATCCTCTTTACAGCATACAATGAGCCATCTAGTTTGTGTTTGGCTTTGAAGACCTTGCCGTATCCGCCCTTCCCTACAATTTCGAGCTCCGAAAACTCCCGGATGTAGCGGTCCGTTTGCAGATGAGGATATCCACGTAGCTGCAGCTGTACGGGAGCTGATATACCAGACATAACATCGAAGCCAAGAGATGGTTGTTGAGGTGAGGGTGGATGGATCGCAGTTCCTGGTCGCGAGACGAGCGCCTGTGAAGTTCCTTCGGGGATTGGCGCAAGTTTGCTAAGGTTGCCCTGGATCAATCGATGGATTCCCTGATTTGCAGTTGCTCGGTGACCCTGCATCTCATCGCTCGCGTAGGCGTCGTCTACATTGTTGGAGATCTGACGAGCGAGCTCCTTGTAGGCGTCTCTTCCTACTCGTTGTACTTCCGGATCAGATGGATCCTTTCCTAGTTGCTCCGCAGCTTGCTGAATAGTCTGCTTTTCAAGCATTGAATGGAACAGCAAATCTCGAACGTTTTGTGCTGAGTTTTGCCGAACGTCTAGATGAGGCCGCTGGGGCTGAAGAGACGGATGTCCAGAAGTAGCGGAACTCAGAGTTTCGATTCGTGACAGGACGCTATCCTGTTGCGATTCGCTTGCTTCTTCGTATTCGCTCTCATCATCAGAGGTTCCCGAACTTGACGAGGAATCTCCTGGCCTGCGGAACATGGACATTGCGAATGGAAAGAGGGGTCGTTGTGAGTCAACACAAAGCCAGGCCAGCTGTTCTTAAAGGAGGGTAGTCGAGTCAATGAACGATTTAGAGCATCCGATTGCCCTTAGACGAAAAGACGCGCGCGTGGGTTTGTTGTTAAGTTGTTAAGACGTTTATGGTAGTGTGTTGTTCGGTGTAAGCTGCAGCGTCGAGCGAGACCAACTCGATGCCAACAGCTGTACCAGCAAGGACCCCATCAGTACCTAGATACGCGATGTCTAGGCAAGCATCGAGCGTCACGGAATCGCATGGAAGCGAAACGTGTCACTTTGAATTGAAGGCGGAGAGCACGTTCAAAGGCACAGATTAGATCGAACGGAAGGGCGCAATCCAGGAAAGTGGGTCCGACCCGTGGACGAAACCGGCAGGGTCTAGCGCGTCATAGCACGTGCCCAGGCGACCGCGAACAATTCACCTACGTGCACGCGCTTTCGACCCTTTCGGACGTGTTTGTGGCTATATGACCTTCTAAGCTGCTTCTTTGCAGACTATGGGCATTATGTCGCGTGCAAACCGTCCTCTACACTCTCAACTCCTGCGAATACAAGGCTGATCTACAAAACCTTGGGCATCATGCCGCGTCAGCTACCTTGGGCAAGCAAGAGTGGCGGAAGTCGGACCCAAGCCAAGCCAGCATCATCGCGGAAAGCTACGAAAGCGCGTACTACGGCTGACATAGATGACGACTTCTTCGATGGCACTGTGCTGGCAGACAGCAGCAGGAGCAGAACGAGATCAAATGGGTCCGACGATGACCTTCCCGGCCTTCCAACAGCACCCACAACGCCACGGACTAAGACAAGGACCAAAGATGCTTTGGGAAGGAAACGTGGAGGGTCATCATCACCACCTCCCATTGATGAGCTTGAGGCGCCGCATGTTGAGAAAATGCACAAATGTCTGTCGAAGTTCGATCTGCGCGACGACGAGTGGATGATGGTGGAAGACGAGTTCCTGGAGACAGCAAAGCTCTTCTCGCGACACTTGCACATCGCCGAATACGAGAAGCTTAAGGCGATGATCGAAGAGAAGAAGAAAGAAGCTGCTGAGGTTACCAGGCCCGTTGTTGCAAATGCGAAGAGGTCAACTAGCGGCGAGATGAAGGAGAAGGCCAGGGTCCAAGAGCTGAAGCAGAAGGAAGCCATTCGCGACGTGTTTGCGTCGCAGGAAGACAAAGATGACGAAGAAGGGCGTAATACACTATCGAGCCGGTCCAATCTTACATCTTCGTTCATGGCCTCAAGATACGTTGCGACATCCAGGCCTCAGCCAACACCTAGCAAATACGCAACACAAGATAGCGACTACGACAGCGACGATCTAGACGCACCGCGCCCCTCAGCAAAGCCCGTTTCCAGAGCCACCACCACACCTACCCCAGTCCGCAACAGCAGCGCAGCAAAAGGGCAAAAGTCTGCCTCGTCTCCCGCACCCAATCCGAACCCCGTCTTCGCTAAGCCTGCGCCACCTACACCTGCAGCAAAATCTCGCTCACGCATAAGTCGCGCAACACCCTTTGATATGCTCGACGATTTGGTACCGACGAAGAAAAGTAAGACATTGTCAGGGTCTTCGCCACGGCAGCCTGTTGAGACATCATATACTCCACGCGCGTCCAGCGTCAGCAAGTATTCCCAATCCTTCGATTCCGCGGAAGATCGCGGTGGTGCTAAGCTTGGACGATCAAGTGCTTCGTTCGATGAAAATGCGTTAGTCAGAGATCCGGGCGGCAGTGGTGGTAACAGCGGTGTCAGTAAGGAGACTTCGGAGCGCATTGCCAAGCGCAAGGCTGAAAGGGAGAAGAACGAGAAGGAGCGGAAACGGAAAGCTGCGGATTTAGATGACGTACCGACATTCTTGTTTTGAACTGTTGGCGCTCACTACGATTCATAGAGTTTTGACTAGGAGGTCTTTTTTAGGAGTTCATCGGGGGAGTTTATGATGATACCCTAGTTACGAATTGCTGTATCTTGTTGAGAATGGAATACGTTGAGCTACAGTTTAAGGAAATGATTTATTCAAGGATCCTTCATGTTCGTTAACATCATGGATTCTCGCGGTATTGTCAAGAATTCTCATATAGACGACCCACATAGGCATAACGCATCCCTTTCCAAGAGCAGTACGCCATCGCCAAAGCAAAGCAAGAAGCACTAGCTTGAAGTACCCCAAAGGGCGCCATGACAACAGTTGCAACAAGAGTCTATCCAAACATCTTGTCCAAGACACGGTTGAAAGCATTAGTCTCAGGCTTCTCCACAAAAGTACGATGGTACTCCTCGATCTCCGCGAGATCAGTCACAAGATCCGCCTCAGACGGTGAAACCCACTTAGTCCTCTTGAGAACCTTCCAGAAAACGAAGAGAACGGGGAAGGCAAAGACCCTGTATTGCATGTCAGTATTGTCTCATGGTAGGAACAGAAGGGGGTGATGGGGTGGAGACTTACATCAAGTATGAGAACAGGAAATCAGCGACAGCCCACTTGCCATTCAGGAACACAGTGTAGCCACCGACAAACGTCATGATGAAGGTGCATACAAGGCCGTACCATGCGGCGTAGGGCTGGCACATACCCTTGTATGGCAGCGTGTCTCGATCAAGACCCTGTGCCTGGCACGCCTTGTGGAACTTCAAAAAGGTGAAACACATGACGCTGAAGTTGATCAACTGCGATGCAGTCACCAAGCTAACGAACCAGTTCAGCACGACAGCGGAGTTCTCGCTGAGCTGGAGGAAAGACAGCAGGGCAATCAAGAGTACGAAGAAGACGCAGTAGAAAGGTACACCTTGCTTCGTGCACTTGGTGAGGAACTTGGGCGCCTTTCCTTCTAGAGCGAGACCGAAGAGCGAACGGGACGCGCAGTAGACGTAGGAGTTTCCGGCGGAGAAAGCGGAGGCGAGGACACCAGCGTTGACAACGTGAGGTAGACCTTCGATACGGAGTCGGTTCATGGCGATGACGTAGGGTGAAGCTGCTGCACCTGGCTTGCCGTCTCGGAAAGCGGCGATCAGCTCTGGATCGTTGTAGGGCACGTTGATACCGACAGCCAGCGAGCCGAGCACGAAGAACGTGGTCAGACGGTAGAAAACGGCGTTGTAGGCGCGAGGCATGACTTTGCGCGGATTCTCAGTCTCTCCTGCTGCCATGGAAACGTAATCTGGTCCGGCGATTGTGAAGGAAGCCTGGATCAGGCACTGTAGGAAGCCCAGGAAGCGACCGAGCTGACCTGGTTCGTAGAGTTCTGTGAAACTACCAGGGTTCTTCCAGTAGCGGAAACCGTACCGATCTTTCTCCGGGTTGCCGCCCAACATGGAGATGAAGGTGAAGATGAGCAGGCCAATGATGAGGAGGACTTTGCCAATGGCGGCCCAGAACTCGGTTTCGCCGTACCATTTGACGGCCATCATGTTGATCACACTGTGTTGAGGTTAGCACTTGATCTGGATGTATCCTTTTGGAGAATCTAAGGCGAAGGTTGAGCACACAGCTTCATGGTTGCTCCAACGTAGACGCCAGAGTGCCAAACGCATGAGTTGCCAGCACCAGGATGTGGGGTATCAACGTACGCATAGAGCACAAGAACTATTGCGATGATGGCGCCTGTGGGCACGACATCACTCCAGAAGCCGATGATGACGTTGCAAGCCACAATCTCAAAGGGCACAAGAGCAGCTTCGAACACGAAGAAGTTCCAGCCAGCCGCGAAACCGAAAGCATCATCCACAAATCTTCCGGCAAATCGGATAAACGGCGAGGATATAGGGAGGAATGTGACCATCTCAGCGATACCTGGGTAATTGCATTAGCTGGTGCTCGGCATTCTTAGCGCGAGCGATGGAAAAAGGTGCTTTGGGGTATAGGATAAAGCGCATGGGCATTGTCGCAATGGGAAGGAGTTGTCGCTTTGGAAAGTAAGGGATGGAGAGTCTCACTGAGCGTCACAGCCAGAATGACAGTACACCTTTGAAATGTTAGCGTTAGCTCATCGCCGTGGATGGCGAGGGAAGTATTGCATACCATAACGAGAATGCAATGAACAAACTTCCAGGTCCTCCGTTCATCAAACCTCGGCCAATCTGCACGTATAAGGCAGTACCAATGGTTCCTCCAATACCGATAAGCTGGATGTGTCTGCTCTTGAGCGTTCGGTGCGTCTGATCGGTGACTGCCTTCACAGATCCGACAATACTGGGATGACGGGGGCCGACATCGTAATGATTCTTTTCCTCGTCGGTAGCAACATAGCCCGTGTTCTTTACCTCGTAGGGTCCGCCAGCACCAAAGTCTTGGCCGTAAGAGGCCATTGTATTCGAATGTCGAAAACCTCAAGGCTGGGCTTCAGTGTATGGATTTGAGAAGCAGGGCAAAGTACTGTACTACGAAAGCCATGTACCAATAGCCGGTTGAGTTGTCTTATAGATAGCAGGCAAGGCTGAGGGTCGTCGTGCAAGATAGCAGAAAAGTCGGGGAGTAACCTGTTAAATAACCCTCTCAGCTGCCCTAGCGAGCGCGAGTGGGAACCCTGCATGAGCTTCCTCGTGGTGAACGCTGTAGATCGCGCTAGGCAGGCTGGGCATTCACAATATCCCGCTTCTCCAAGATTCGGGCCTAACGTTACCTAGCGGAGGGCGAATTACTGATGGGCCATTTTGGCGTTTGCCATGGCGGGGCTGCAGTAGGCATATTTCACGTCCTCGGTCCTTCACTGGCCAAACGGCTGCTCACCCAGAAGGATATCGAGGGTCGGTGAACCCTTGTCTCGTACGCCGCGTGTTGGGTAATCCCGATAACGTCGTTTGTGGGTGCAGGGATTGAGATACCCGGCATCGCTAGACCAGCTGTCTTTGAGCCCCCAAGCGGGGCCTGAGTACATCGTGCAGCGGTGTCACGACATACGGTACCCTCAAGAACGTTACTTCTTCTGTCGTGCATTTGAGGCCTCTTTCGCATGTCCAGCTTGCGCAACAGCCGTTATCGAACCATACCTATCGTCTTCCCTGTCGGCCTCTCCGAATCCTTCCACCCAGTTTGTGGAACGAGAACCCCTCCATCTCTTGAGCGTATCTTGGCCTGCGCTTTTACTCCAATGACCGAGTCCGCGTCATTTTCTGAACGGCTGAAGCTATCTTGGCATTCCTGGGCTGGCGGGTTGGCTCCAGGCTTGCTTCGAGGCTTTGCGTTGTCTCCGTTGCCTGCAAGAGGCTTGTTCATACCTCGGAGACAGCCACTAGCTCGGACCCAGCCACCTCGTAGTCCTCAAACTGACAGCCGCCCGCTGCGCCGAAAGGAACTAGAAGCTGCTTGCCGTGAGTCGAGACTCTGACTCGGTAGATACGTAAAATCGTGTGTCGCTTTCTCTCCCCGCGGGGACGAAGATGCATCGCTCGACTGTTGTTACCATGTGATGCTACAACGCCACGAGAAGGCGTGATGGCTGTCAAGCTATCAGTCCTGCGTCGCTTGAGCCAGCCTCTTTCTGCATCCAAGCAATAAGCGATACACCTTCGTCAGATAAGCCTCAGCTTACCGGTGAATGCAGAGAGACGCGTTACCAACTGTCGCTGACACTTGGCGATGTTCCTTGCTCATGCTTCGCCTCTCTGAACGATACAAGACGATGGCTTCCACCTGCTCACTTCGCAAACCGATATCTCGATAGCCAGGATAGTTCTTCATGCGGTCAGCAGATGCCAGACGTTGTCTGCCTGGAAGTACACGGCGCGCATACCAGAGACGTCCAGATAGGCCAAGGATGCCTCTGTCATCCTGCATGTTCGAGATGTTGCGTCCAAGGATTCATAAAGCTTGGAGTTACGTATACCGAACAAGCAATCTGGCACATCGAATCTGCCGTCGCCTTCCTTCTGTGTCGATATTCCGCGTTCTCGGCCTATGGATCGTCGGGCGACCAGCCGCTTTTCTCATGCGAGGAAGGCGCGACATTGCGATGCCGGGTACCGTTACGACAACATTCCAGTATGATGTGAGCAGACGCTTCGAAAATAGGAAAGAGAGCTTAGACGAGAATTTACAGCAGCAACAAGGGCGGCGGCTCTCTTAACAGCTGCAGGTGCCGACCTGGGATCATGAGGCTGTCGCGCTGTCATTGGTCAATCTGAGAGCATGCCCAGGTGTGGTTTATCCCGAGGTCACCAAACACCCTGGAGCCTACGTTGACGTTAGGTCATCGATTTTGAATTACTCATAATGTAGTCATTGGACACTAAGTATACACGTTAAAGGTACAGTGTCTGATAAAACCAACCCTCCCCAATAGCGCCTTCGCTGAACTTTTGCATGTGTGATGGTCGATAGCAATACAGTCGCTAGAGAGAATCCTGGCCAAGAGGCTTACGCTTGACAGAGGGACTGGACGCAATCTTTGGCAGGTCCGCAGTGACATCCTTCATCGTCATGAAATCCTCATCCCCTTGACGGCCCAGTTCCCGGTTCAGCTTCTCTACGGTCGTGACTTCGCCCAACCAACGCTCCCCAGTTTTGTGATCGAAGTGCACTGGCTGGACCAGGCCACGGTAGCGCGACATATCGTCTAGGGTTGGTGGGTAAATGATGGTTGTCTCCCTGCGTTCAAAGCCGTCCTCAGTCATATATGGCTTCCCCTCGATGATCTGCGGTTCTGTGCGCCATTCGAATGGAGTTGCCGGAAGGTTCGGCTCCTTCTGAACGATATCCCACCATCTGTTCTTGCCAGTGCGGTTCGGCAATTCGTCTGCGGATATTTCGATCAAGCCCTCGCCATCAGGGTTGGGAATGAAATGACGGGGTGGAAGAACCTCGGTCTGGAGAACGGGCTGCAGTCGATGATAGTATGTGTAGTTGTGGATCTCGCGATGGATCTGCTGCTGGATAACCTCGTGTTCGTGTGGTTTGATGATCTCGTGTGTAACGGCTGTCAATTTGTTAGTCATGTCGTGACTTTGGGAGGATCAAAGCTTACCAGGGGCGACTGTAGTGTCTCGATCCGTGTCTACAGTGTTATTGAGGTTCACAACACCCGCAAGCATCGCTTGCTGTTTCTCTTTCCAATCATGCGCGCCATCCGTGCCCTGATAGTCCTTCGTGATCGCGAGACCCGGGAGAGGTTTCACGGCCAGCGCATCATTGTTGGTAAGTCCTGGTACAGGCTGGCCACTCTTGCTCAATCCATGTTTGTCGGAGGAAGAGCGCTGCTCGCGCGATCGAACGTCATCATCCAAGCCGCCGTTGTTGATATCGTGACTACCCACTGCATACTTGTCGGCGGGAGCTTCGGTTGGCACTGCGCGTATGGTGCGGCCTGGACCGTCTACGTCGATTGATCGTCTGACTTCGCCATGGGGATGGTGTAATGTGTCTGATGTTATGTTAGCACTGAGTCGCCAATATTGTAATTGCGCTCTCAAACATACTGGGTAGGGCCGGAAGAGCCTTTGATCGCTCGCCATCTGTCGATGGCCTATAGCGCAGATGCCTATCTGGAACGCTGGGCTCGACATTTGAATGCTCTTCGGAAACAAGCGCAGGAAGGTACGATCTGTAATCGTTCGCCATAGAGCCATTGGATCCATTGGAGCCCGTGCTAGGAGTTGCTACTGCATGGCTCGCTCGGCCATCGTGATAGGCAGAGTCGCGTGGTTGACCTCGAGTCTCCGGGTGAGAGACATCATTGGGGGCCGTGGGCTTTTGCTGCCGACTGCTAAGAGGTGATGCTGGGTGCTGCTCAGTGCGCGGGCTAGTCTGATCAGGATGCTCGTACGACGCTCGAGGGGACTGAGTGGGCGTCGACTTCTTCCTCCGGTGGAGAACGGACTTGAGCTTCTCTTCGATCTTTTCCATCGTGTCGATGGGTTTGTGAGCAGAAATGGACAAGTGGATGTGGGAGCTATGTGAGATGCCGATCTATTGTCTGTTTTCACGAGGCACGGTACTCATTGTTAGGGTGGATGACCTCACAGCACTTGCGCACAGTTGTCCATTGAAACCTTCCGGCAGGAGCAAGCCGAAGTCTGGAGAGTGTGCGTGTCAGCTAGCTAGGGTGTATATTTGGAGCTTCCAGACATTCTGTCGCAACGGTTTGCGAAAAAGTATAGCTTCAGTGATGCCGTGTCACGACGGATGGAGCTGGTGGCTTGAGTAGCACAGGCCGCAGTCGTGTTCCCGCATGTTGGCGGCCTGCCCGGAGCGGTCCAGACTTGTCCCTACGTGAAGCTTTCTCATCTCGATTGAGACTGCTCGAGCTGCCCGCACAGCTTGTCGCATTTGGCCCACGGCAACGGCATGCGTGGCGACTCAGCATGACGTAGCCAGCGGTACTTGAGTTTGGCGGTGTCTGGCTAATGAGTCGGGGTACCGGTGGTACGAAATCACACAAAAGCAAACAGCATCCATTGCCACTTTGGTATGTCACAGCGGAGATCCAGGCGGCATGACGACAGGGAGGGGGAGTCTGGTCGCGGGCGGCTCCACTGATGATCAGCTTAGCGTACCAAACGACGGGCGATCGTGTTAGCCTGCACCTAGATGCAGCCAGGCCTTCGGTATACCCGAGACACACGCAGATGCAGGCGGGCTGTGAGAGGGGTCAATGGAATTTGCAATGAAGAAATCAACTTTTGAGATTTCCTACGAGGTGTTGTGAAGTTCCACCGGGAAGCAGCACGGGCCTGCTGTCACCGAATGGCAGGAGCACGACCCTAGCGCCGATCTCTTTGACACCAACTGGAGATGCCGGGCTCTTCCTCCCCGAATTGTCATAGCACTTGTACCCTTTGAGCACCTCATCCAGAGAGTGTTGCGACACTTTGAATCCTTCGTGAAGCCCAATTCCTGTTTGGACACGCAGCATGACTACATCATAGCGGCTAGGCTGCGGTAGGCGTGGAACGACACCACTGGGTGCATCATAGTGGCCATCTCCATTGTCAAGCGTACCAACGCCGTCTTAAGCGCTATCCATGTAGTCTAGCACCAGTGAACTAAGGGCCCTGACGCATATCACGTCGCTGTGGCGCCCTGTGGGCCAACCAATCGAGGCTGCTGGGGGCATCGATCGAGGCCCGTATAGCCTCAACCCACTGTTGCTGCCCCATGATGATGGCTCTTACCCTTGGGAACAAGGAATTCGGCCTGCGACTGCCGACTTTACCTGGAACTGAACCCCCCATTACGTCGTCGTGCATCTGTCCCACTAGCGCCCTCATTGTATAAGAAGGCACTGCAGCGCCTTGGGAGCATCATCATCACACCACACACAACAACTCTTCCACACTCACCAATAACCAATCCACTACCACCAAACCACCCCAATCACCAACAACAACCACACAACTATCAAAATGGACAAGGCGAAGGCAGCTATCACCGACTTCATGGGCCGCTCCGGTCACCATGACACCACTGTCCACGAGGCAGTTGCTCCCGCTGTCCAGCACGAGGTCATCAAGCCTCACGTACACGAGGAGGTCAACACCGCCATTGACAAGGAGGTCCACCAGGACCACTACCACCGCACTGTCCAGCCCGTCCAGGACCGCGAGGTTCTGCCAGAGCAGCACTCTGCTAAGCTCGGAGCTGTTCAGCACCGCGAGTTCGACCACCGCGATGCCGATGCCACTAAGAGGGCTCTAGTCGACGACCAGGCTCGCTTCGCTGACGAGCGCCGCGTCGAGGACACCACCCACAGCCAGAGCGTTGCCCCCACCGTCGGCGGAGAGCACGTCCACCACGTAAGTTTCCAAACAAACAACAACCCCCACCAAGACTGACGTCATCTAGCACATCCACGAGACCATCCAGCCCGTTGTTCAGAAGGAGACCATCCAGCCCAACGTCGTCCACACCACCGTCCCCATCCATGAGGTTCACCATAACAAGGCTACCCACCATGAGACTACTGCTCTCCCAGCCATGACCATGGAGCAGTTCAAGGCCAAGGGCGGAGCTCTTACTGGCCGTGAGGAGCGCTACGACGAGTTCGAGGGCGTCCCCAAGAACATCGGCGGCGCCGGTGGCATTGGATCCGCCGCTGGTCTTACCCACAAGACTGGTGGCACCCACAGCCACGAGCACGCCAGCCACGGTGACTACAACGCTGCCCCCAACCACCACTCCGGTACCAGCAACCCCCTCGACCGCAACAACGACGGTAAGGTCTCCGCCAAGGACCTGACTGGTAGCCGCTCCAACACCGCCCACACTGACCGCGGCATGGCTGGCCAGGGCAACCTGACCGGCTCCTCTACCCAGGGAGGTGTTGTCGGCCACGGTGCTGACCGCAACCACGACGGCAAGGTCGACAGTCACGACCTCCACGACCCCGCTCGCAGCCGTAAGTCTAGCACTCTAACACAATTCCACGACCTCATGCTAACGTTTCGCAGACAACGAGGGCGCTACAGGTACGAAAGACCCCAGTGGACATGTTGTCGGCGGTACCGATCAGGGCAATATGGAGCATCGTCCCAACGAGGATGGTAGCTTGCCTAAGGCCCTGACCGAAGACAAGTCCAGAGCCGTTCCCCACTCCCAAGCCTCCGAAGAGGAAGCGAAGAAACTCCTTGAAGAACATCAAACCAACACTAAATAGGTCACAAGAAGCCTTCTCTCATGGACAAGCTCAACCCCAGTAAGTTTTGCCAGTACTCCTCTCTCTTCGACCTTTCATCTGACCATTTCCCACAGAGGTTGATGCCGATGGTGACGGCAAGGCCGGCTTCATGAAATAGATGCATTCTGCTGCACTCTGCACCACGCGCGATCATCACGACTGCATGCGAGATACCAAGGACTATTTCCTATGACATTGTATAATTAGCCTAGTAATGAATTAATCACTACACCCTCCACACACGTCTCACTTATTCATGATACCTGAATCTTCAATGGGAATGAATTCTTACTGGAGTGTTGATTGTGGTGGTGACACCAGACACACTTAGATACATGGATGGCCTTCCTTTCTTCGACCCAATCTACTCGTGAGGCATGTGCAAAACACATTCCACTGGCTATGATGTTGTGACTTGTACGTCACTACATCAGAACACCCTTTCACCTATTGGTTGCCACTGATCAATCGACTTGTCGGTAGGTACTATCACCACCCTGCCGCCAGTCCAACCTCCGAGGTCTCCTGTCCCGTCAAGATTAACACCAAGCAAATCCACTGATGCCAGACCTGTGTCGTCGATTTGAGGAATATCGTGACTACAATAATTAATCCTGGTGCATACGTAGATGCCAGCAGCTGTACTTACTACATCAAGCTCAGATGTGGATTGTACTCGTCCTCGGCCCAAGCTTTCGCCTTGCTTTCCTCTTCAAACCCATCGACTTGCTTCCGGGACTGCTTTGCTAGTTGCTTGATCCCATCAAGCTTCTCGCACTTGATGTACAGTTTCCGAAAGAAGACGTCTTCGCTGCCCAGACGTTCGAACTTTACAATCACATCCTTGATAGGCGGCAGATCGAGTGAGTCGAGCCAGGCCTGAGGATCTGGCTCATGCTTAGATGCTGTTATCTCTGAACTCAGAGTGATATGGGGAATGAAGCGGTGAGGCGAGCCGAACTGCTTCGATGTTTTGTCAATGAGACAGGGCAAGACTGTGCTCAAAGTATGGTTCGCTGGTGGAAGCAGCCAAAGAGATGAGCCAGGCATGTTGGAAACGTTTTGGATAAGTACAGAGAAGATGCAATGTCAGCTCAAGCTTTCATGCTCTCCCGAGGCCTTTATGCAGAACCCCGCATTGGTATTGGCCCGATGAATTGCCCCGATTGACCTAACGCCACGTGGCTAGTGCTGCGGGTAGCTTCAGCCACACCTGGGCACCCTGACGTCTCCAGCTGACTTGCATGTGAAAGCGCGCATCAGGTCCGACAAGGGTTCCCACTTGCTCGATAGCACCACCTCTCCGCCAACGCGACGAATGAACATGCGACTTCCGCCACCGCGGCGCTGTCAGCCGATCACTATCCCAAATAGCTCAACGCCATGAACGAAGCCCTCAGCGTCGTTTCCGGCGCGCTCTGGAGCTTTCTGCTGTGCTTCTTCGACGTGGCTTTCTTTTGGCAACGAGTGCGTCAGCTTCCCTCTGCTGTTTCAAAGACCGTTCTGGGTCAATTGATGTGTCTTCGGATGGAATGCTGATATGTTGAAGAAATTATACGCGTGGTGGGTGCAGAAGAGCCAGCGGGATCTGCTGCTCGAAGCTGTGAGCGATGCGCGCCTGTTCGAGGAGTGGGAGGCTGCTGCGTATAAGCTGGACGAGGTGCTCGACTACGACATGTGGTAAGCAGTCCTTTCGTCCTATCCTGAATAGGCCCATCCTAATGGACAGCTGCTAACAGACTCATAGGCGACAGACTGCAATAAGCAAGGACTACGACCATCGCCTCATCCATCAGCGCCTCTCCGCCATCTACGAAGCTCAAGAAGATAACGATATCCTCGGCCTCATAAACCTCCTCCGTAGCGGTCTCGTCCGCAATCTCGGCAACATAACCGCGTCGAACCTGTACAATCGCGCATACGCAGGCACGAAGCTGCTGATCGAAGACTATGTCACCCAAGTCGCGTACGCCATCGAGAACCTCACCCAATACCCTACATCGAGAAATTCGGATAATGGCTTAACAAACCAGGCGAAGCTGGACGTTCTCCATGACACGAGGCAGGCGTTTGGCAGATCTGTCTTGGTGCTGCAGGGCGGACAGGTCTTTGGCATGTGCCATCTCGGTGTTGTGAAAGCGCTCCATCTGCGTGGGTTGCTACCAAGAATCATAGCCGGGACTGCCACAGGTGCTCTGATAGCCGCACTGGTGGGCGTGCATACCGAAGA